AATCGCTCTGAATCAGCATCTGCTAGATGACTAAATGTAAATGTAAATGTCTAGTCTTTGTCCCTCTGTCAGGAATCTGTCCTTAACGTGAAACTCACCCTATTAAGAAAGAACATCCTGATCTGTCTAGCATGCTAATTCAGAGCAAAGAGTTCATCAGGGAATGCCAATTTTCAACTGTTAATAAAGTACTTTCTATAAGCATGCAGGTGCATAGTATATATAGTATATAATACAAAAGAATAGAATCTGGGCATACTACACAAATTCAGGACCTTACTGGAGTGCGTCATGCAGATATCTAAACATAGAAACATAGATGTAGAGGGAAAAAAATGGAAAAACTGACATTGAACAAAAAATAGATAAATAAAGTATAATAAAACAAAATTTAACCTATGAAAAAGACACACAAAAAAACTTTTATCCAGGCCTCACTCACTCATGTCATTAAGAGTCACAAAAGCCGCTAAAATTACAAATCAAAACAGCATTTGTTGCCACTGGTAGTTAAGACTTGACAACAATCAAGTTGTTGAACCAAGCTACATCGTGAATATATCAATTAATCAGAAGTCAAACGCACCACTTTCTATGCAAATTAGGCCGATAATAACAGATTGTGCCTTATTCACAAAAACCAAGGCCTAGTTGCCTGCTGTAGTTAACATTGCACAGTACGTAAATGTGATATATATATATTTTTTTTTTCGAAATCGAGATTTATACATCATCTGAAAGCTGAATAAATAAGCTTTCCATTGATGTATGGTTTGTTAGGATAGGACAACATTTGGCTGAGATGCATCTATTTGAAAATCTGGAATCTGAGGGTGCAAAAAAATCAAAATATTGAGAAAATCGCCTTTAAAGTTGTCCGAATGAAGTCCTTAGCAATGCATATTAATGATCAAAAATGAAGTTTTGATATATTTATGGTAGGAAATTTACAAAATATCTTCATGGAACATGATCTTTACTTAATATCCTAATGATTTTTGGCATAAAAGAAAAAGAATAATTTAATAACGATAATTTTGACCCATACAATGTATTTTTGGCTATTGCTAAAAACATACCCGTGCTACTTAAGACTATATTTATACTATATTTATTTATTTATTTTTTATTTGTTTTTTTTTGCTCATGCACACTTTGGCTATTAATCATTAAGTGCTTTACAAAGCAATTTTACGAATAAATTAATTATTATTTTGAATGATTAATTTTCCTGACATTATGTTAATCATTTCTTTTGGCTTTAGTACTGCAAAGTGACAACATAAATACCAATAAATTAAATTTTAAACAACATTTTGTCTTTATAATATCATAGTATAAATGGAACTTATATTTACTTTAGCCATCAGAACTATAGTTACAGATAATATAAAAAGAACAGAAAATCTGTTTGACATACAGGCAGTATCTAAACTTCTTCTTTAAAATGTATGTGAACAGGTCAATAAACCTATGAGAGGAAGTGAGACAACAGTAAAGCCAAACTGAGTAAGGCAGGGCCGAGATACAACTATTTGAAAATCTGGAATCTGAGGGTGCAAAAAAATCAAAATATTGAGAAAATCGCCTTTAAAGTTGTCCGAATGAAGTCCTTAGCAATGCATATTACTAATAATAATACATTTTTGATATATTTACGGTAGGAAATTTACAAAATATATTCATGGAACATGATCTTTACTTAATATCCTAATGATTTTTGGCATAAAAGAAAAAGAATAATTTAATAACGATAATTTTGACCCATACAATGTATTTTTGGCTATTGCTAAAAACATACCCGTGCTACTTAAGACTATATTTATACTATATTTATTTATTTATTTTTTATTTGTTTTTTTTTGCTCATGCACACTTTGGCTATTAATCATTAAGTGCTTTACAAAGCAATTTTACGAATAAATTAATTATTATTTTGAATGATTAATTTTCCTGACATTATGTTAATCATTTCTTTTGGCTTTAGTACTGCAAAGTGACAACATAAATACCAATAAATTAAATTTTAAACAACATTTTGTCTTTATAATATCATAGTATAAATGGAACTTATATTTACTTTAGCCATCAGAACTATAGTTACAGATAATATAAAAAGAACAGAAAATCTGTTTGACATACAGGCAGTATCTAAACTTCTTCTTTAAAATGTATGTGAACAGGTCAATAAACCTATGAGAGGAAGTGAGACAACAGTAAAGCCAAACTGAGTAAGGCAGGCCAAAAAAACATTAAGATTAAATTGATGCTTATTATCTAGAATCCCTTACAGACCATCTCAGTCAAATTGTATGTGTGCATGTGGGGCCGGTCTCCAGGGAGGTTATTGCTACAGAGATAGAGAGTGGCAGCTAATTAAAAGGCCACGTTAATGAGAGGAAGACTGCGAAATGACAACGAAGGAATGTTCCTTGTGGCTACGATAACTGATTTTAATGATATCTAGTGTGTATGTGTGTGCAGTTTGCTTCCCGTTAGCCTTTTTTTGTTTTGTCAGTGAGCATGTGGAGACTGCATTTATATCTATAAGATGCGTGTGTGTGTGTGGTCAAAGTATGCCGGCCAAACGCAACGGGGGGTATAAATGCGCTAATCCCCTCGATCTGCTATGCTGAGTCGATACTGACAGACCAAGCCACTCTGCATCAAAGTCACATGATTCTCCAAGACCGCACACACATGCACATATGCATACATGAGCGCGGAGACTGCAGATATCCCTTTATCTGTCAATCATCCGACCCAGGGCGGTGGGCTGTTATATAATGTTCTCCACCAAGAGAAATCTGCAGATCATCTCATATTTACATAGACTCCTCATCACCATCATAATCATCACGTTAATGTTACCTCATCTTTATAAAAGTTAAGAGTCAGCCACACCTACCTAAAACGGCTCGTTCTAACACGCCCCCACATACCTACGTCACTATTTGGGCGGCGTTATGCAACTCTTCCCAGATAGTGACGTAGGTATGTGGGGTGTGTTAGAACGAGCCGTTTTAGGTAGGCGTGGTTGACTCTTAACTTTTATAAAGAATATCTCTTTGGATTTGTGACTTTAGTCTTTGCAACTTTATAGATCTTCTTTATGCACCAAGAGCTTGTAACACTCCAAAGAGAAAGGAAAAATTGAAATCGCATCATATGACCCCTTTAATGATAAGCAATACCATTGTATTTTTTCTCTCAGTCTATTACCAGGTACTATCAAGGCCAACCAATACACATACATCTATTCATTTTCAAGTATAAAATAGGTAAAAGGACCCACTTGTCATATTTACAATCCATTTTGCAACAATAAATAAACAGAGAATTGTGAGATCTCTAAAAATAAACTATTAGAATAAATGCCAATTTAGTTGCAGTGAAAAAACCCACAATGATGTTGAGCGATGAGAGAAACCGTTCTTATCTTATTCAGCTATTTACAATGATAGACATTTATTTGCAGCTAAATCAGTAATAAAATCACTCATTTCAAATAAACCTTGCAATATAATATTAATATCAGATGTGTAAACATTTAAAGGAAATATTGATTCCTAATAGCCAAACAAATCCATTTTCCACCTGTGTTCAAGTCTCCATGCTTACCTCTAATCCCACCAGAGCTTGCAATAAACCAAATACACAGGGAGTCCAGGTGATTTAATTTTGCTTAAGCAATTTAATTGAAGGTGTGCAGATGTTCATTAGAGATGATTTTACAATAGCACTTTTGCATTGTTAGTCATATAATACAATTTGATATCCAACTTGGTCATTTTATTGCTATTTAACCAGCCATGGATGAGAACTGTAATGTAAATGAAGACATTTCGTGTCAGGTTAGGTGAACTGCAGCTGAAGGGAACAGCTTCTGACAGCCAGATAATCTCAGATACCATCTCAACTCAGTAAAGGTCAGTTGTGGAGAATTGAGCTCAGCGTTTTGTGTGGTCACTGGTCACCGCCTCAGATGGGCCAAATAGACTGATATTCTAAATCTGCTGCTGCTGTGAAAGACTTTAAGCTGACCTATTACAGTCACTTAACACGGGAATTTTCTTTTGCTCACTGAGCTGGAAGAAGACTAGAGAGAAAAGGGGGGAAATAATCAGAGGAAAGGTGATAAAAAATTCATGACTGTAGGTGTGCAGCATTTTTAGCTGCATTACGTTCACATACAACATCTTGCAGTTTAATTGTTAATCTGATGTGGAAGACAAACAACAACACGAAATGCTAGTGCACAAACTAGAGTTTTATACATGCATTCGAATAACACACACTGAACTGAGGAAAAGAAATATCTGGACACAGCAGCTGTCACCAAAAGACCTGTTCTGAGGGCTAGTAATAGTATCGATGAGAGACTGAACGCACTTAGAGGAAAGGATGAGATGGAAAAATAGGAGAGTTGAGGTATTTGCAAGCTAACTGGGTTCGGCCCTAACAAACGATCGACAGTACGAACAATAAGAGGTGAAAGACTAGAGCGCTACAGTGTGCCGCCTCACTTCCTGTCTAGAGCACTGTTTATCTGCAGTCAGGTTGTTACTGTTTCCAGGAAGTGCCTTCAGCCATGAGAGAAATGTTTAGCAGGAAATTTGAGTCCTCTTATGGGCATGGAAAATATTTTAGTTACTAATAAACATGGAGATACAGAGTAATACTGACAACTTGTGTACAAAAATGTACAGACATATAAAAATGGTAGCACCACATCGCACACCCCTGAAATTAATATCTAAAACCTCTCATCCAATCAAGAACATCAGTAAGGTCCCAAGTGGCCATTTTGATGAATAAACAATTAAGTTTAGATGGTTAATTAAATAAGTTTAATTAATGGGTTCTTGACATTGAATGAGGTCCAGTGGACACTCATGTTGAGAGCCATATGTATTAACTGATAAGGTCCTATTGTTTGATGGGCCAGGTCAGACTGGTCGATCAGTGGGATATGCCAGGGGCAGTCAAAGATAAACAATATGGTTTACCTGCTGAGCGACAGCCTGGCTCGCGTGTCTGGGAACACAGGAAGTGGGTACGACAGACCAAGTCAATGAGGCAGACACATGGCAAAACAGCTTTTAAAAACTGCTAAAACCAGTTTAAGATGGTCAGGCTAGTCTGGTTTGCTGGTTTTAGAGGGGTTTTTGGCACTTGTCAACTGGTCAGGTTGGGAGACCAGCTGGCTAACCATCTACACTAAATGAAAACCAGTTGGGGCTGGCTGCTAGATCAGCTACTCCAGCTCAAAAACAGCTTGGGCAGGATGAAAGACAAGCTAGACCAGCTAAGACCAGTGTTATTTTAACACAAAACTAAACAACTAAAACTAAATAAGAATATATTTTTATGAATTCAATGCTAACTAAAATAAAATAAAATAAATGTAGTTATGCTGATAAATGTAAATTTCTACATGTTAATTTCACCGGTTATCACATTAATTGGCAGGCGTAAACTACTAAAATGTAAATATAAATTGAAAACAAACAAAAACTACATTAAAATTCAAAACTAAAATAGCCCTGGCTTATACCAGCTATGCCCAGCAAACCAACCGGAGAGTGGATGTTTATTCCTGGAATACGATATATTTGCTTGCGTATAATGACATGTTTTGCTCTCTGTCCGCAGCGGTCTGGGCTACATCCTGGGATCCATCGCTAAAGACGCTGGAGGGCACTGGTACTGGGCTCTGAGGGTAAGAGCTGTTGAAATATCTCAGTGTGCTGTATCAATATTTTAGAGGAAGCATGCACAGCCTTCACAAATACACACCATTTCCTCTCGTACAGGTCAAAAATATCCCTAAAACCCATGGCAGACAGGTGAATCCCAAAATACCTTCGGCCCGTCTCTTGAAAAAGCAACATAGCATTCCTGCCCCCTTTGAAGCCTGTGCAATTGGCACTGACAACCCAACTAGCTTAAGCGCATTAATTTAGCATTACTTCCAGCTCTCTCGGGTCCTGCTCATACACGCAATCCGTGAAGAACAAGGTCTTCGCAGTTCTCACTGCGGTCTTTGTACTGCAGAGACCCAGGAGCTCACAGACCATTTTGTTGTGGGATATTCCTCAGTAGCCTTGATGTACCACAGCGCTAACCTAAAGAGCCAAGCCGAGCACCTTTTCATGCAGCTAAAATTACTAATTTATGAAATGACTGAGTGAGAGGAAGGGCTGTGGCCTATAACTATTTGGGCAGTGAAAGAGAGAGAGCAAAAACAACTTTTTTGGAGAAAGTAAGAGGCCTCTGAGGTGCTTTAGATTTTTTATCCTTCATTAGCTCAGTGCTGTTTTAAAACCAGCCGCTTCACTTGTTCATTTTAAACTTTAACAGTTGGGCGTTCCTTTCGCTGGGTCATAAAGAATCCAAAAAGGTCAAAAAGAGTGTCTTATCGTGAACTTGAATTATGCTTGATGTGTGGCTGCCTCTTAAAACTCCAACGAGGTTTGGCTGTCAAGCTCTTAGGCCTAAAAGGAGACTTGTTAAACCCTCTCAAGCTTACAAAAACTTAAATGTATTGTTCCATGTTCGTTTGTATACCGCACGCAAGGTTTATGCGCATAGTCCAAGTCTTCTTCTCCCTTTTTGAGTGTATCTCTGTGGCAGAATTACAGTTCCACCTGCTGGTCTGGCATGTATACTACATCGCTTTGTGACGGTTTCGTGTGGACTCAGATATTTCTTGAGACGAGGTGAAAAAAAAGATTGAATAGGGTAAGCTCTGGCTTCTTGTGGACATAACCTTAGACTAGTATTTGGAGACTTTATTTTGAATTTGAAGTTTATTTTTGTTACCTAATTGAATTTTTATTCTTGTTTTAAGCATACGTCTGACCACATTTCTTTTATAATTACGCTTAAAAAAATGCCAGTGGTGTAAGAAAAAAAATACATAAATATGCATATATACGTTTGGGGTTTTCTATTTTTAGATACTTAAAATGTAATTTGCACCTTTGACATGATCCTTCAGAAATCATTCAAATATGCTGATTTAGTGCTCAAGAAACATTAGCCTGCTTATCAATATTGAAAATGGTTGAGATGCTAAACATTTTTTGTGGAAACTGATACTTTTTTTTTCAGAATTATTTAATAAACAGAAAGTTCAAAACAAAAGCATTTATTTGAAACATAAATTTTACCGACTACAAACTTTTTAAATGGTAGTGTATATTAAGATATCATTTTTATAAAATAATAGCTTTTTTAAACTAGAAAATAAGAAAATTTACTAAAATACTGTAATTGTTGTGCAGCGCAGATGAATAGATATTTACATGCACACAAACACTCCCATAAGAGACACAATTTTGTGCAGAAGTACCTGGTCAGAGCTCAGGTGGTGCAGAAGACAGCAGTGAGCTGCACCTATCAACCATGCAGCAGCAAAGACAGGTCCCAACATACACATACCGCTGAAAATGTAATGTACAAATGCAAACATTACACTTTTGACAACGACTGTATTTCTCTCTCATCTCCAGTTTGATATTCGGAGCCATCACCTGTGTGACGGGGCTGTTGGGAGTGGTGATCGGTGCCGTGACCACACGGCTCTGCCGACAGAAGACGGAGCGTGCCGACCCGCTGGTGTGTGCGGTCAGCATGCTGGGCTCTGCTATCTTCATCTGCCTCATCTTTGTTGTGGCCAAGAAGAGCATTGTGGGAGCATATGTAAGTAGCTCTATTTTGACTGTTCAGTTTCAACTTACTTCAAAACACCCAATACTAAAAGAATAAGAGCGACAGGCGCTGCGTACTTGTTTAATTGGCATGTAAAGCAGGAAAAGGGAGCAGTTTTCACAGTAACTGCTGAGAAACAATGGGCTGTGGCATTTCTGAGTCACTAATAGAAAAAAGTTATGCTGCATAAGAAAACAAAAACTTCTACCAGGTCACGCTCGTTCTTTTAACAAAAAAACAATCAGGTCAGAACTAAATGCAAGGGCCAAACCGGACTGGGAATCTCGTAAGTGTTTATGATAAGAACTGAAGCCTGATGAGAAAATATTTTAGAGACTGTTTGTCTTTCCTATGGACAGAAGAACCCAGTGCACTGTGATAATGCCATCTATCTGGTGTTATGTTTGAGAACCCCTAAGCTTGCTCAACGTTTGCCATCTTATCTTAAAATGAAAGACTGGTCACGAACTGTACCCTCAAAATCACCTGGTTTTGCAACCTCTTGTGCCTTTGTTAAAAATTGTGATGACTTTGAAAATATTTATAATAAGGCAGACAGTCTTACCTGTGGGTAGACCTGGCTGCTCAGTTGTCTAGTTTGGGTCACATGAACTCTTTTCATAAGAGTTTGAATATTGCAAAATAAAGGGCGCAAGAAAAGAATAACAATTTATAGTATAATAAAAATCATTTAAAAATTATATTAAGAAATGGAATATTTAGTAAGATGTACTAAATTGATCAAGCGATGGTAAATACATTTATAATGTTACAAAAGATTTCTATTTGAAATAAAGTCAGTTGTTTTTAACTTTTCATCAAAGAATCCTAAAAATGGTCAAAAATATTAACCAGTACAACCTTTTTCAACATTGATAATAATAAGAAATGTTTCTTTAGCACTAAATCAGAATATATAAGTGATTTCTGAAGGATCGTGTGACACTGAGGACTGAAGTAATGGTGAAAATTCAGTGTTGCAATCAAATAAGTAATTTACACTTTCAAATATATTACTTAAAATTGTAATAATATTTCACAATATTACTGTTTTTACAGTATTTTTTTGATCAAATAAATGCAGCCTTGGTGAGCATAAGAGACTTCTTCCAAAAACATTAAAAAGTACCAACTCAAAACTTTTGAACAGTGGTGTATATTGTCATTTATCACTTTATAATAAATTGGAAAATGTGGAAAAGTAAAAAGTAAACGCCTGTCAGTCTCACTTAGAGCAACAGGACAAATTTTACAGTAAATGATCAATTTTAAGATATTTATAGAAATGAATGACACATCATTTGGACCACAGGCCCTCATGCCATCTTGTCAAACAGGTAACATTACAGTGTCAGTTCTGGGTAAAAATATACCCAGCTCCCAACTAAAGACATGAGCGCCCTTTTCAATCACTTGTCCAGAGGCTTCTGTAATTACATCCAAATGGAGCATACGAAAAACAAGGAATCCAAAACTTTAAGGAGGGAAAATATTTGGAGTGTGAAAAATAGATAGTGACAGATGTGCAGTCTGAGAATGTGACAGCACGCTGGAGCTCTGTCAGGGTCTGTTCCAGCTGCTGTCTCGTCAGCACACTTCAGCCCTTAACCAGAGTTCTGCAGGGCTTTACAGTTTTAGCCTGTCTGTCCGTCCGTCACGCTGTCTGAGCCTCAAGCCACTTTGGGACAGAGTTTCATACATGTCCAAACACACACGCTTTCATTTCCTCACTTTCAGATATTTTTTTCACACCGACATATAAATGGAAGTTTCTAGACCCGTGAACTAATACCGTCACCTCTGTTTTACACCCTGAGGTCATCCCTCTGCCAGCCCTGCTCAACATATCACTCTGAGCCCAACATAAGACCCTGTCAAAGTCAGAACGGCCACTTGAACGATCAAATTCCCCTGCAACCTACAGTTCATTGCACAATCCCATCTGGTTTGACCCCAGCAGCTGCCGTCAGCTGCATTCTGGCCTCAGAGATGTGGAGAGACCATCTACAATCTGTCAAGTCACTAAGATTAGTGGAGATATTCAATCCTTGTGTCTCAATCTGCCATAAGCACCTAGAAAATCCAGACCAGACACTGAGGGATATCAGTTAATTTGTGTGGGAATGCCTAAGTCAGTTAGTCTGTTCTCGTGAGTCTGTTAAAATAACTTGTTAAATGTAACACGTTTTCAGCCACCAGACATTTTAGGTTCCACTCTAGTATAATGCTAACCACTAGTCTCTTTTTTACGGTTTGGAGCAAGACACGGTTCTATTGCCCTCAAATCAAAAATTGCATATATTGCAACCACAGTATAATGACACGTTTTCATATTCCACAACATTTATTGGGGTTTTTTGATTTAGTAGATGAGCCGGGTTAATTTAGCCTTTGACCAACTGCAAACCCTGCTATCAGTATGTATTTATGTACATTTCTCATTTTAAAGGATAAAATGAAATATAATTGGCCTTTCTTCTTCTATTTTTCTCCTCAGATCTGCATTTTCATCGGAGAGACGCTGCTCTTTTTGAACTGGGCCATTACGGCGGACATTTTAATGGTTCGTATTGAAAGCCTGTATTTATCTGCTGCATCGAGTGGAAACTTTAAAGCCTTTAACTGTAACAAAACTGGTCATCTTCTCAGGCTAGTTTCTTATTTTGAATGGTGGGATGCATGACTACGAGGTTTGGTATAGCCTGGGTGGGGCCCAAGACAAAATTGCTGCCTTTGATTGCACTTAATGGAAACGCCACTCATGGAAAATAAAACGAAATAACATTTTCAGTTTGAATGTTTTTGTCTGAAGGAAGCCAGTGAAGTCAGAGCAGTAAACAGAGAGTGCATGTAAAGCAGAGTGAAAGATTTAGCAAGAAAAGCTGTCATGAAGTTGAGTCAGCCAATGTCTTACTGCATACTTAAACTCCAGTCAGCTTCGGTCAGTGTAAAGCGCCTGCTTAAGTGAGCACTCGTGGTACTTTTGTTTTCTTGTTATGATTTAATGTGAAATTCTCACTGCTGTTTTCATATCACCTCTTTTCTCTCTCCAGTATGTTGTCATACCGACCAGAAGAGCCACTGCTGTTGCCTTCCAGGGCTTCACCTCGCATTTACTAGGGGATGCTGGGAGCCCGTACCTCATTGGCTTGGTAAGGATGACTCGCACATATGACAGAGGAACTGCTCAGTATTGAGTACTTGGCATGTTCAGACATTATAGGGTGGTTTTGGGGGTCTGGTCAGTCTAATTAAGGTCTGAACCACCTAAATGAAGTCTAAAAAAAACACTGAAAGGGTCTTTTTACATACAAGCCAACAGATTTTCAAACAACATTTCAATACCCACAAAAGTCAGAGCGCACTAAATAGACAACCATAAAGAAGAATCAGGTTATTGACACGCAAGTAGTTTAGAGAGAAAACGTAATGCTAGAAAGAGGAAGTCAGCGATTTTGAGCTCTCAAAGCCACACAAGAAAGATGTATGGCTCCTTTTCTAGTTCACAATAGCAGAATTACACAAAAGCCCTCTGAAGGTTTTCCCGCTCCTTCTGATTTGTGTCTTTCCAGTAATACCTTTCCACAGGAGACATGATTGTGTTTGTATATATGCCAGTCACCAGCTCATTCAAGGCTACATTCATCCACAAGTGTTCCCTTCGGTCTCTTAAACACTTCTGTGTAACAATAAGCTACGCCGCCTTGTGCCGTGTGACATTGTGCTCTATGATTTTGTACGCTGACCCCGATTTCCACTCTTGTTCATGTTAAGAAAACAAAGCCAAACCGATCACAGTGCAGCATAAATTCATCATTCTTCTTCACTCCGGAAAAAGCACACTGTGTTTCCTAGACTTCCGACTCCTGTAGACATTCCTAGCATTCCGAACAGGAGTCACTGGAGTTGATCCAAGTAAAACAGTAACTCCTGTCCGTGCTTTTGACAGGTTCAGAGCCCTCTGTCATGTAGGACTCAGGGTTCAGACCCATTGTTCCCTTATTCCTTTATCACCTTCAACCTCTTGCAACAAAAGTGCATTTGCAGTGTTTGTTCTTTATCTGTCTCACACATACACTTCAATACACTGGCATAAGAGCAGAAGCGAAGAAGTGTGTCTAATCTACCTTTATATTGTTTATACAATATTTTTCCAATTGGAATGTGCTAGACAGGTGGTGTTTGAGCACAGTTAATGATTTAATGACTTGATGTTGAATCTGACCTAAATTTCACTCCGGAGGTCTGGCAGGCTAGTGTGATGGTGGCTGTGACGTACTTCTGTCACAAAAAAATCTGCCAGCTCTGAATAACAAAAAGAAGAAGAGATTTTAGAGAAAAACCACATGAACTTTGACACAGGGCAGAGACACTATAGTTTTTCCAGACATTAAGCTGTTATGAGAGCAGTGACATCCAATAGCTTACCGAAGACAACTGGAAAGAAATTTAAGAACATGTGGCAGGCAGACAACACGTTCTTCTAAAAACTGAACAATGTGTGCACTAGACCTGTGAATGAATAACATTTCCTAAATACCTGGTAATGCTCCATTTCACTCTAACTGATGTAAAAACATTCAGAGTACCTGTGTGAATCTATACCCTCAGGCAGTGGGTGGTGTAATTATCTATAAAAATAGGCTATCAACCGAAATCTACCATCTTTTTTTTGTTGCAAAAAACCTCATTAGACACGCACCAGAAATGTTCAACCTCAGCCCTATTTTTATCAGAAAAAATAGTTCATGTTTGGCATCATGAAGGCCAACATATACACACACATACAGGAGTGTGGTCTGTGCGTGCACACAAATACACGTTTGCTTAGCTGTCTAAATAGGGGCATTATGTAGACTTTTATTTTTATTTTTTATATACAGCTAGTTGCAGATACTATAACCTAACCCTTACACAAAACTTTCTGCATTATTACAATTAAAATAACCCTCTATTTACTTATCAGTTTTACAAACAATGACATCCCCATAAGGAGGTTTTTGTCAGATTTATCTCACTTCTGGGTAACTATTTGTCCCCAAAATATGGTTAAGTATGTACAACAACACACAGACCTCACTGTCAGCACCTACTCACACACCTTTTAGAGTCAGCTGGCCCATGAGACTTGAGACACGCTAGTGCTGATAAAGGATTAGCCAAGTTAAAGTCAGTTAGATGGACACTGAGGAGATTATTAGTGCTTCTAAATGTCTTTTTAATGCTGCTCTTAGTGCCTTTGTCAAAATATACAGCTTTTGCTTTATTTTCTAATAATATGCTACTTTAGAATAGCCAGAACAAAGCATTTTTGCATATTAGCACTGGAAACATCCTCTTGTTTTCTGTTCACAGGTCTGAACGAATGAGTGATGAATGAAATCAGGATTTGAGTTTTGTGGCCTTTAGTGTACTCCTAGAAGTTGACAATGTATTTTTAGCAGATGTAGGCATTTAAAAATGATCTTCCAGGAAAATGGAACAAAAATACTGCTGACTCATCCCGCACTACACTTTATTTTTATACAATCAAATGCTCTTTAGAATGACAATATCCCCTGCTGATATCACATAGGAAATACCTCATGTGGTCTTTAACATTAACAACCAGTTGCTAACTACTGACTGTGTGAATCCTAAGGGAGCACACAGCATAAAATTAAATCAGTTTGTAAAATTGAAACTGAACTAAATGTCTCCTTGATTAAATCAATAGTTTAATTAATGTTTATTGTCTTTTTATAGATATATTGACTTGCTGTTCAACAGATACCAATAGCTTAAGACAAATTAGCATAATTAACCATTCGCCCAGTAACTGATTAATACAGCGCAGCTCTTGAAGACAATATTAGGAAGTTAATTATTACATTAATGTCACTGACGACTCGCAGCAGACTTTTCCTTTGTTTGCTAATGAGTGCTCTTTTGTTTGTGTTTCTATGTGTTCCTGCAGATATCAGACGCGCTGCAGGAGAGCTACACTACATCAGCGTTATGGCAGTTCCTGAGCTTGGGCTATGCCCTCATGCTCTGCCCCTTTGTCATCGTTTTGGGAGGGATGTTCTTCCTGGCCACCGCCCTTTTCTTCCTCGATGATCGTGACAAAGCGGAGAAACAGTGAGTGCCTAGGCCTTTACTCATAACCTTCATAGCGCTAATTCAATCCAATCTTTTAAGCCATTATTCTGAAAACTATCTTAAGGCATCGAGGTGCTTCCGTTTCAAGGGTTCCTTACTTTACATTCCTAAACGGGGTTGTCATTTCCCATTTCCTCCACTGACAAAGACAATTCGGAGAATACCGGTTGCCATGGTGATTTTGGTAGCCTTGGCCATCTTTGTGTGCCTGGTGAATAGCCTCAGGTGGACAATTAATCCGCGAGGATGAGCGAGATTGATAGACGGACAGAGATCGAGATATATTTTCAAACAAAGACACTCTGCAGAAGTGATCTGCCTATTGAAATGGCACTTTACGTGGGTTACAGATGAGCTTTAGTAGATCAAGAGCTTTCCATATTCAAATCATTAATCAGTATAGGAGAGATTTCAAAATAAATGTAATTTCAGTAGACTAGCATTAGGCAGAGACAAGCTAACTATACAATTTTATGAAAGTAGCATTTAGTAACAGTCATGACGACATGAGACAAAATAAACTTCAAATAAACCCCAATGTTGTCTCTTGCTATTCAAGCTACCCAGACAAGTCATTTCATTTTAACATGGCATACATAAGCCATCGCAAGATACTTTGTCCTATATATGTATATTTAAACATAGACATTTTAAAACAGACCTTCATCTAAAACATATGCCAGTTTGGTTATGGAAAAGTCCCATTGCCTTAAAAGGTAAAGACAAACATGATACCCAAACTTTGCGACTCACTTTCTGTTTTGCGGCCGTCTTTTATCAAGTGGATTTCCTGTGTGTGTTGCCACTCAAAAATGACTTCCTTCCTGTCTGCTTGGGGACATTTTTAGGCAGGGTGGTATGTTGGATTACTGCGGAAGATCTTCCCACGATAGGTCTTAGAGACAGCCCAGGAGGTTGACTTCTCTTCTCGTCTCGCCATCTATTACAACAGGCAGTTTAATAATCATAGTCATTTTTCACATGGAGCTACTCAGCAGGATTATTAAATTGTTCTTTTTCCTGCTATATATCATAAGTAGTGGAATACAAATAGTGCACCACAGATACAAGTCTTAAATAAATCAATCCTAACATGAATAAATCTTGACAAAAAATACAGTGTCTAGGTTTAAAGTTGTTGTGTCAAACAGAATAATATATAACTGACTATTTTCAAGTAGGTTTCCCTGAACACTTCCCACTTCTACTATTGGTCAGATAAAGAGATAGCCCTCACACAATTGGTGGAGCCATTGTTGCTATGCTAAGCTGGTCAGATACTCATAGGAACAGAGCAATATTTTTAAAGAACCACAGTGCATTTTTCAGGGAAATAAACTTGTAGTTTTCTCTGTATATTAAAAAGGGATGAGAGAACATATTTTAACATTAACTTCACTTCAAATGTCAAATAAAATATAACAAAAAAAAACTCATTTAAATTGAGAATAAATGAAAAATACTTCACTTTTAAATTTAGAATAAGATAAAAAGAACCTTAAATTGAGAATAATTATGATAACAAATCCACCTTTCAGTTTTAAAAAAAGTTTAGTTTACTCCCACTGTTGGTTGCAGTTTATACAGAAGTTTTACCACACCACTGGTTTTATGCCGCCACTGAATTTCAGCTATATATGCTATGTAATGACGTGCTATATCATGCATGCCAAAAGCAGCAGCTACAGATTAAAGCAGTTATATTTGTGAATGCAGCATACACTATAAGCTTATATCCAGCTGTTATGAGCCTGTGCAATTATACATTTCCAACAAATACTCTTACATAACACCCTTCTCACAATTTTTCATAAGCATTGCATCATCACGAGTCATCATGCAGTCTAAAAATAGAATTTTATCCGTGCTGTTTCAGGCCCAGTAGTTCTTTATTCGCAAATATCTTGTTACATGAATATAGCATTCTTTTTTGTCTTCCTCTATTTATGGACACAACATGCAAAATGAAAGGCGTTCACTGGAGCGGAGGAGTATATATTGAGCTTGAAGAGTACTTTATTTCTAGGCTTTAAGCTGTTTTGGGCCATGAGGGAGCTGCTTATAGCGCAGGGGAAAACACTGGGCACCCAGGCAGTCACAAAATACACACACGCACACATTTGTCTCATATCCTTTGCTGCCTGGCATCAGTTGGCATGGTGTCCATTGGGATGTACTGTAGATATAAGCATCCTGTGAACTGCGTGTTAAAGCACTAGCAGCCTGTGAAGTGTCACCATTGAGATTTCCAATAGAGTGAATTACAAGAAGGCAAGAGAGCATCTTATCATAGGGAAAAAAGGAAAGAAGTGAAAATGCTCATCAGTGAAGATGAGGAGGAGAACTGAAGTACTTCTACACAGAATTAGTGTGTTCCTCGCATTAAGAATCTGGATCCTCACCAACTTCTGTCACTACCCTGACCACCTGTGGTCACACTGAATCAAACCACTGCTGTACCTCATTTTACTCAGAGCTTTGCATCTAAATGGTTGTATTTCAATAATGCTGCTGTGAATTTGCTTTGTAAATTCAAGTTATCAAACTTTTGGACCCCAAAAGATGAAAAACTGGGTAATATAATTTATTATTATTATTATTATATTATCTGGAGAATATTTACTTGGTATTAAGTTATCAGTTTATTTTACCCACTATTAAGAGTAATGCTATGTGAGCTGGAAAAAAGTTCGTACTGTTTAAAACCAAGGCTATAAAAATAATTGTGATTAATCTCTTGATTCCCAACCAGTTTAAAGCAGGCAAAATAAGATCAAATTTGGTAAATGTTAAAAATATTGTCTTAAACACATTAAATTAATACCTTTAATTTAATTAATATCTGCAACCCAGTTTGAAAACCCCTCCAATAAGAGATCCTGCTGATGTGTAGTGTACCATTATGAAAAACATTGCATAAATACTATACACAATTTTTTCCCTCATTATTCTGTTTTTTTTTTCTTCTTTTTTTCTCCAGAGTAAACCAGCTTTCCCGGCCGCCGTCCACAGTTAAGGTAAGACCTCAAATTCCTGCAAGTCTCCAACAAAGGCCCCCCCACTTTTTCCCCTTACACTGTTATAAACTGTTATTCTGTTGACCTTTTAAAATAGAGAATACAATGGTTCAAGCTTATTTATGAGAAGGTATTCTGGACTGTAAGGGGAGAAATAATAACATACCACCTTTATGAAACTCCAGAGCTGCACATTTAACCTTTATTTACCCTATGTTTTACACATTGGAGTCCTTGCGCATCACAATACCATAGAATAGAATAGAATAGAATAGAATAGACTTTGGGCTCATGGTGGCATCACCTTTTCATTTCTCACCAGCAGCACCAGACAGATGGATCCTGTTGGGAAGCCAGAGACTAGGATGTTATTGCTCCAAGTTTTATTCAACAACACAAACAGCCAGAGACTGACCTGTCTTTGTCTTTTTGATTCCCTCAGGTTACCAAATGAGATGGGGATGCTGCAATGGGATGGAAATATGGGCAAGTGGAGGAAAAAAAACAAAAACAGAAGGAATAAAACTAGCAGCTAACTCACTATACATACACTCTCGGATCACCGCTATCATATCATCTCTGCTTTTTCATTTCATCCTGTGAAGGCCGTTCTGAATTCAAGTCGCACCTTTATGAGATCATTTTAATTGCTGAATCGTGAGAGTTGAGTATTTCAGATTGCACATTTTCTTGTCATACAAGAATTCTGTAAAGATGAACCTATTTCTGATGTCAAGCAGAAATTACAAGGTGATTTTATTTTTTAGAGCAAGTGTGATTATAAAGAAAAGTATCTAGGACGTTTACTGTGATGCTCCCACAGGGATATACACCTATATGTAACTGATCAAAATAAACTTATTTAATCAAAACAAGTGCAATATAGTGTCTTTTTTTTTTACATTATTACAAAAGTACACTTGTCACTTTACAATAAGATTATGCAGGTATCATGACCGTACAGAATTTATTAATCTGTTGATGCTATTATTTTTTAAAGTATACCATAATTCATTGTTAATTCATGTTTGTTAAATTATAATACAACTTTTAAAAAATGCAAAAATGTCCTTTAAAATTGTGTTTTTGGTAAGAAATATTAATTTTATTCAGCAAAGATGTACTGAATTTATCAAAAGGGACAGTAAAGACATTTATATTGTTACAAAAGAAAATTAAGTTGTCATAACAGGAATAAATTACATTTTAAAATACATATTTTAAATGTGTTAAAATAAAATTTCACAGCACTACTGTTTTTACTGTATTTTTAACCAAATAAATGCAGCCTTGGATGAAGATCACTAAAAATATCACAAAATCTGTCCATTCTTGGAGGACCCTTCCATACTACTGATTCACAGAGTGATTAGAAGCAGGAATACCCAATCAGAGCTACACTCCTACAGCACATGAAAGGGCTCTAATGTCACAGAGACCCATTAGCACATACCTGGGGGGACAGAAAGGAGACTTTCACTGCCCTGGAGCAGGAAGCCCTCTCTCTTCCTCTCTTTCAGAGGTAGGAGGAGGGGAGGGGTGGGCAGAGCAAAAGGTTTCATTTTCATCGTCTAGTGTAAGAGTCAGCCCAGTTTTGGGGGACTGGATGAAGTCTAGCATTGTTTAGAGAGGCACACTGCACCTCTGTTGCTCAGCAACTGTTTCTGTGACGCCAGAGAAGAAGAATGTAGATGGAGAAGGTCACCAGTGTGTTGACAAGACATGAAACACCTACATAACCAGTGACTGTTGCTGAAAATATAAGAAAATGTGCCTAGCAACAGCTGTCACATTCATCCATATTACAGATGAAAATACAATATTTGCTCATGGTGTGACCCAAACCGCATAAGAAAGCAAATCGAGAAAGTTCACAAATATCTGCAACCGTAGCCACAGCTGAGTACAGAATTACCTCAGAACCTAAAAACTTCTGAAAAGCTCCCGTTGACACTAAGTCGCCAACAAAAACACACAAAGAACAGAAGACCCATAATGGCCAAATATCTCCAAAAAGTCAACCAATAATGATGAGGTGTTTTCCTTCAGTTAAACACAGAGCTGATGGCCTCAAACGCCCCAAAACTGCTTACTGTGGCTGCGTTCAATCAGAAGTATTGATCACAGGAGCTTTTCTAATCACAAGTGACCCTGTCTAACCTATGACAGGAAGGTCCTTATCTAGTTTAAAGGAAACATCTCAACATTTGACTAATTTACAAGCTAACCATTCGATTTTTGGTATTACACACTAAAGATGATCTGTCTTATTGACAGCCATTTCAATATTTACATTTGTAAAATGCTAATTAAAAATATACAGAATCCTGAAATGAATGGAATATATGTTGGATGTCTACGAGTACAATCAAGTCAGAACAAACTGGCATTCGTTATTTGTATTTAGATTGAAATAAAACAACAAACTGTATTGATGAAGTGATGAAGACCTTTCTCCACTGGACACTGAACTCTGATAACCTGGCAGAAATGCACTGGCCAAGCAAACCAAACCTAATTCTGGCATGACACCATGAGAAAACACTGTCAAAGTCAACAGAACAGTGGAGATCTGACAGGAAACTCTAGGGTGTAGGACAAGATATAATGGTTCCTTATACTCAGCAGGAAAATCAATGTGGCGATTTCTTTTCCATGGGACTATTAAAACATTCTGTGGGCCAAAGAAACAAAAAATAAAAACAAGGGTAATTTTAGAGTCAATTTCAAGCTTAAGCAAATAGTTGTTGAGGCACGTGTCAATTTTTGTTTGGTTATTTTGACAAGTCACTCTTTTAAGCTATTTTGCTAGTTAGAGCATTGAATCCATATGTAGAAGCCTCAGAACAGACTATTTAGTTCAAGACCCTTGTTCTCTATTAAAACAGTGCTGAGAAAAGCATATGGAAAGGATAATTCTTCCAAAAATGACACTTCTGTCATCATTTACTCTCATGTCACTCGAAACATGTTTGACTTTCTTTTGTGGATAACAAAAGGAGATATTTTCAGTGTCATTTGTACAATGAAAGAACACACGGGACAATATATATTTTGAAGAGCTGTTTTTCTGCTTACAGTAAAAGACAAAACCACCCCATTGATTTTTATTGTATTCAGAAAAAACGGTATTCAATATATATTCTTTTGTGTTGTAGAAGAAAGTAAGTCATACAGATATGGAAGGTATGGAAGTCCGTTTCCGCCACTGAATAAAAAATTTTAAAAAGGTAATTGCGACTTTTTATCTCACAATTATCTTTTTTCACAGAATTGTGAGATATAAACTCGCAATTGCGAGTTATAAAGTCAGAATTGCGTGATATAAAGTCAGAATTCTGACTTTTTTTCTCAGAATTGCGTGATATAAACTCACAATTGCGAGCTATAGTCAGAATTGCGAGATATAAAGTCACAATTACGAGATAAAAACTCGCAATTCTGACTTTTTTTCTCGCAATTGCGAGTTTATATCTCGCAATTCTGACTTTTTTTCTCGCAATTCTGACTTTT